GAGGATCCTGTAAACACTCCAACATTTGAGAAATGGGAAGGAAGGATCCCGTCTGTGGCTTCCAAGCCCCTGTGGCACCCTCAGCATTGGGTTTCCCCTCACTTTGAGGCGAGAAACTGAAATGTTGCTATGTTACTGCCAGCCCTTCAAGGTAGACCAAGCCGAGGAACATGGTAAGGAGTGAGTCCAGGAAAGCTGCTTTATTCTATATAGGAAGTCCTCGACTTGCAACAGTTTGTTTACTGACCGTTTGATGTTACAGCGGCACTGAAAAAAGTGACCTATGACCGTTTTTCAGACTTACGACCATTGCAGCATTCCCCACGGTCACGTGGTCAAAATTCGGACGCTTGGCAATTGACTCGTAGTTATGACGGTTGCCATGTCCCAACATGTGACAGTCTGACTTTTGTGACAGTCTGACTAACAAAATCAATGCGGAAACCACATTCACTTAACAGTCAGGTTTACTAACTCAACAAATGTGGCGATTTGCTTAACAACCGTGTCAAGAAAGGTCGTAAAAGGGGGCAGAGTTCACTTAACAGTTGTCTCACTTAGCAACGGAGGTTTTGGGCTCGGTTGTGGTCATAAATTGAGGGCTGTGTGTATATGGATGGGTCTATCTCAGGGGTAGGCAACCTTGGCCCTTTTATGATTGGTGGACTTCAACTCCCAGAATTCCTGAGCCAGCCACGCTGAGGGGAAAGGGAGAGGTTTCCAAGCTGAGCCATGCCGGCTCAGGAATTCTGGGAGTTGAAGTCCACGAGTCTTAAAGTTGCCAAGTTTGAAGACCCCTGGTTTAAATATTCAAATATTTTTTCCTCACGGTCACGTGATCAAAATTAAGACATTTGGGCAGGGGTAAGCAACCTTGGCTCTTTTATGACTGGTGGACTTCAACTCCCAGAATTCCTGAGCCAGCCATGCTGAGGGGAAAGGGAGAGGTTTCCAAGCTGAACCAGGCTGGCTCAGGAATTCTGGGAGTTGAAGTCCACGAGTCATGAGGGGGCCATAGTTCCCCCATGCTGGCTCAGGAATTCTGGAAGTTGAAGTCCACAAGTCTTAAAGTTGCCAAGTTTGAAGACTCCTGTTGTTTAGAGAGTCGTTGAGGACACCTGGAAGTTTATCTGTGACCTCAGAGTCACCTGAGTGGTGCAAATGGGTGTGGAGCCTTCTTGGACCTGCTGAAAGGATTTTGTGGTAGACCGGAGATGATGATGATAGTAATAGTAATAATAATAAAAAGTTGGAAGGGACCTTAGAGGTCATCTAGTCCAACCCCTTGCTCAGGCAAGAAACCCTATATACCATTTCGGACAAATGGCTGTCCAGTCTCTTCTTAAAAACTTCCAGTGTTGGAGCATTCACCACTTCTGGAGGCAGGTTGTTCCACTGGTTAATTGTTCTAACTGTCAGGAAGTTTCTCCTTAGTTCTAGGTTGCTTCTCTCCTTGATTAGTTTCCATCTGTTGCTTCTTGTTATACCTTCAGGTGCTTTGGAGAATAGCTTGACTCCCTCTTCTTTGGGGCAGCCCCTGAGATACTGGAAGGCTGCTATCATGTCCCCCCTCGTTCTTCTCTTCATTAAAGTAGACATACCCAATTCCAGCAACTAGTTGTATGTTTCTAGTTGTATGTTTTAGCCTCCAGTCCCCTGATCATCTTCGTTGCTAGATAGATGATGTCGTATCCCACCCCCTCTGTTGAGGGAGGGCTGTTCAATTTTTAATATAATAATATTAATATTAATATTAATATTAATAATAATAATAATAATAATAATAATAATAATAATAGTATAATGATGATGATGATCATCATCATTGAGTTGGAAGGGATCTTGGAGGTCATCTAGTCCAACCCCCTGCTCAGGCAGGAAACCCTATACATTTTGTCCAAGATAAGCAAGAAAGCCCAGCTGCTTCGTGAAAAAGCACCTTTGGGATGGAGGTAGAACGTTCCGGAACACGAATGGACTCAGAAGAAGAACCTTGAGACGAAGACCCCTGACCTTGGCATGGAGAAGGCAGTGAGTTTTGGGGTCAGACCTGACGAGGAACCTTCTCATGGTGCCTTTCCTTTCTTCCAGACTCTGG